TAATATCGCTTAAAATTTTATCGAGAAACCTCTGCATCAGGAGCACCACTCGATGGGTGGCATTCTCGTGCCACCTCTTCGATGCTCATAAGCTGCTGATACAAAATCCGAATTTTCAATTAATACCTCTCTCTGGTTTTCCAAATAATCCCACTTAAAGTTTTATCAAGAAACGTCTGTATCAGGAGCACCGCTCGATGTGTGGCATTCTTGTGCCACCTCTTCGATACTCATATGCTCTTGATACAAAATCCGAATTTTCAATGAATAACTTTCTTTGGTTTTCGAAATAGTCCTGCTTACAGTTTTATCGAGAATGCTCCGTATCAGGAGCACCGGGTGGCATTGTCGTGCTTACTTCTCGAGCCTCATGTTCTTTTACGAATTCCGTATCTGTACGTCGAGGTATTCTGGGAACAAGTTTTGAAAATTGTATGCAGTCTTCTGACTATGGTATGCTGGAGTACGTACACACATATGTGACCAATCGTTTTTTGAAAAGAGGACCTCTAGTGTTTGATTTTCAATGTGATTTCGTGTCACTTTTTTTTATATGTCTAAATATTTTTTCATATGTAATCATGTTTTTTTACCAGCTATACGATGCAATGGAAAAAATGTATATTTGTTTAATTAGCAAATGTATCTTTTTCGACTTGGATTGTTTCTCTTTATCACTACTCATTTTTACCACAATTGAGTATCATATCGTTCGTTTCTTCCTTTTCTTTTTGAATTACTGTCAAATTTCGGCACACTGCTTTGGTTTCACTTTTCAAGCTACTAGAAGAAATTTTCATTGACGATGTAATTGATAATAAATATCTGTATTTACGTTTATTATGAAGCTTTCGATTGTTGCGTCTTGGCTAATGTCTGTGATCCTGTTAGAGGTGAATTTGTACTAAAAGTTTTCAGAATAATGTTTTACATATCTATATGCATTTTTTTACCATCTACATGATACAATAGAGTGAAATCATTAATGTTTTTGATTTTTCCTTGAGAAAAATGTTCCTTTTAGATATCAGCTTCTTGGGTACTGTCCATATTGGATAAAAAATATGTTTAACATCATCGGAGTTTGAAAAGATATTTAGCTGGCTTCATTTAAATGGATCAGCCTGTATAATGTGTATATTTAATTGAATTTATATTGCATATGTATTGTACTTTTTTGTATTTTATTATATTATATTCAATATCTATTGTACATTATGTTTCATTGTTCTTGTTTTATATTACATCCATAATTTTATTTTATATTTTTAATATTCATTTATTGATATTTATATTCATTTATTATGTTCATATTTTTATATAAAATAATATTTATATTGTGTTGCATTTTACTGTGTTTATATTATATTGTATTGTGTGGTATGTTTATTGCATAATGTATTTCATTGAATATTTTATTATATACTAGTTCTTTAATTTATGTATTATATACCGTATTTCATTTTATATTTTATTATGTTAGACACAAGTTGTTGTATTTAGAAAGGAATACTTAATATATCTCAACTATTTATGACGAAGAATATTCTTAGAACGAACGTATTATAATTACTTAAATGATTCATTTTTGTTGTATAATTCTGTTCTCAAAATTCCTTCCATAAAAATGTACGTATTTAACTGTACTATGAATTCATAATTTTCATGAATATAAAATATTGTCATGATATAAAATTTGCGTATCGATTGGCCATTTGAATTAACTCACATAATCCAAGAGTTGTCAAATCTGTGTATATTTTTCTCCTTTTTCTCTGTATTTAAACAGCACCGAACGAAAGTAAGCTAACGGCTTTCAATTTAACATTTTCGCAGGGAAATTCTCATCAACGTACGTTATTGTCCGAATTTATCCAGCCTTAAAGACTAATTTAGATTACAGGCATGATATTGCGTGAAAGTTTCAGGCGACTGTTTATAGCTAAGTCAATTAATGATAATTTCCTGAAATGTCGTGTTGCCGTGGTTTCTAATTATGTTCTGCAGTTAAAATTTCATTATATTGGCTTTCGTTTCAGATGTTTCTTTTCGTTTAATTAAACCGCTATTTCCCAGTGGATTTACTTTATCGAACACCCATTAACGCAATAAGGAACCTATGTTAATTTGTTTTTAACGTTTTGTTCTTGTGTAAAACGTTTATTCAGTATAATCTCTAAATTATAATTATTAACATCCACAAACGAATTTTATTGTAGCTATAATTTAAGATAATATTTTGCAGTTTACTATATTACATTACCATGGTATTATTCACTTGTAAGACGTATTAAAGATTTAAGACTGAATTAATTGATATTCACTTGCATTTGATTATTAAGGATTAAATTAATGTAAAGGTAATACATGTACATATATGACTTTTGCATAAATATATTCAGATTCATGGGCTGAGGACAATATACTCTGTCAGTCTTCGGGCTGACCAAAATGGTTCAAAACCACTGGAATGTACATTGAAAGCAGGAGGTTGTATCTCCAATAGTCGTATCTCTAAGTGTACTCTAAGTATTGTCAGAAAATCACAGTTAAGCAATAATTTCCCTATTCCAAATCCTTTTCATACTTACCTATTTTTATCTAACAATCATAATCTAAGAAATTTACCTGAATTATGGGAACAAATTATAAGTTATCATCAGATTCATATTTCTTTTTCTATTTTCTTAAATAGATTTCACTTATTGTAATATATTTTAATAATAATTACAAGATGATTATAACGATTGTAATTAATATATTAATAATTACTATGTCACCGGTGACACTTCGAACATATCTCTGTTGTACCAAATTGTTACCGTTCACGCAAAATACATACTTTGAATATTCTGAAATGTATTGTAAAACAATTCTCAATAAATTTATAATCACTTACAGTGCATCTGTCACTCAAATTTCATCCTAATTCTTGTAAATAAAATCAACAGAAATAGAAAGCAAAAGATGTCCTGAGTATTCGTGGCGATCGAGCGTAGCGAGAAACCATGAAATTCCGTCGGGAAAATCGAGGTGTCGTCGAATGCCACAATAACATAAATTCTATTTGCCCGCTCGTGGAAGCGCGAATGACTTCTACGTATGTTTATTTCGTTAAATAAATAAATATTTTTTACTCGAAGGTAAACCTTGCAGCTCGTCTGCAAACTATTTGACGTTTCTGCGTAGATACAACCGCAAATAACGCGTCGGATTCGGCGAACGTGTTACGAAGCAAATATCGAAACTCGCGCTGGTTGGAAATCATACTGAGAGAACGTTTGACATGGAGCAATAAATTTCGAAAAATTGACAATACATAAAATGTGATCATTTCGTAACGAGAGATCGTATATTAATGAATCTCATTTTGAAGCGCGAAGCTTTTATTTTTCAAAGAAATGTTTTCGTATCACGCAGTAAGTGAGAAATTGTTTTTCCTTGAAAATGCTATAAATTCAAACATTGTATCGCTGGAAACATTGAAAAATTTCTTTTATGGCCGACTCTAGGATTTGTAGATCGAGGCGTTTCCTTTAGAACGTGCTCCTGAAACTTGCTGTACAATTCTGTTGTTTCCTTGGATTTTTCATTTAACCATAATAGTCAAAGTTCAATAAATTGTAAATTATGTGAATTATGCAAGTTATTTCGATAATAACTTTTTAATAAACAATGACCATCGCCTGAAGTCTTCATTACACTGCTCTTTTGCCACAAGTAACCTTAATAAATAATCTTGATAATATATATTAAGAGAGATAGCCTTCTTTCTAGATATTTATTATTATATATAATATAATAATAGATAGCCTTCTTTCCAGATATTTATTATTATAAAGATAGCCTTCTTTCTAGATATTTACTATTATATATAATATATAAATATATATAATAGTAGTAGATATATAATTATATATAATTTATTTATCACTATTATTATTTATTATATATATAACAATAGTAAATTATATACAGTAGTATATATCACTAATAGTAGTAAATGATATGTATACAAAGTAATTATATACAGTAGTATATATAATTGTACATGTAATTATATACAGTAGTATATATCACTAATAGTAGTAAATGATATGTATACAAAGTGAGGCCACCTAAATATCTTTTCGAATTATAACGATGCAAAAGGTATTTTGTTGTCTGTCACGAATGGTATCAAAAAGCTTATAATTGGTAAGAATATTTTTTCAAAGACTTTTGAAAGTCATCGATACTCTTTTTCATACAACTATATATACATATTTTTTATTATGTCGTGTAACTGGTAAAAAGATGCATACAGATATGTAAAGAACATGACTTTGAAAATTTGTGTTTTACGTATAAATTTACCTGTATCAGGATCACAGACCTTAGCCAAGATGCGACAGCTTTATCGAGAGCTTTATAATAAATGTAAATAAAAACGTTCACTATTTATAGATGTATAATTACGTCGTCAATGATAATCTCTTCTAGTAGCTTGAAATCCTGATCAGTGTATCGAAATTTGTCGGTAATTCATAATGAAATATACTGAACGCAAGGAAAGATCGATATGATATTCATTTGTGGTAAAAGTGAATAGTGTTTCAGAGAACCATTCCCAAGCGTACAACAATACATGTCCTAATTATACAACTGTATGTATTCTTTTCATTGCATCGTGTAGCTGGTAAAAAAGTATGTTTAGATATATAAAAAAAGTGACATTAAGTGAGATTGATGTCCAAAAATTTACGTTTTCCTTTTAAAAAAAACGGTTCGTCACTTTCGTATTCCTGCAAGCCACGCTGAGAAACATGCACACAAATTTACAAAATCTGTTCCGTGAATTTTAATAATCGATAAACTTTATTATCAAACTTCATTCAAACCTTTCGATCTTACTAAGAATTTGTAAAATGGTGAAAATGTACGAGTCGTACAATGTTGGAAAAATCCTCCTTCAACGGAGGAGTTTATTTTTGAATTATACGAAATTATACATCGAGCACTCACCTTATCGAAACGAGTATCATGGCGAATATCAGGTACTTTCCAAGCAGCGGCACGACCAGCGACGTAGGTGGAATGATCTCGACGACCAGCAGGAAAAACACGTGAAGACTGATGAGAATGGAAATGGAGAGCGTGACCTGTAATGATAAGTTATTCGATTAAAATTTAACTACGTTATCGATGAATTATTCAGGGAGACGTGTTCAAGTAGGAATGATATCTCCAGAAAGAAATCGCGTTGACACGTAAATTTTCTATCATCAATTTATCGTTTCTTCACGAAATTTTTATACCTTTCCTTTCTCAAATCTCACGTTTCAAATTAATCCAATTAATCTGATCAATCCTTAACTATTGACTGATTTATATTCTTTCTTTACTTCTCAATATGCCCCTTTGTGAATTTTGCAATCACTACTTCTTTTACGGACTTTTTATACTTCTCTTTCTCAAAGCTCATCGAGTTACATCCAAATTAATTCAACTGATCCAATTAATCCTTGACTATATTAACTTATCCTTCTTTCACTTCTCAATCTGTGAATATTGCAATTTGAATAAAAGTCGTGGCTTCGCGAGCGAACGTCCAACATTCGCGTCGCCGGAATCGTCGACTCGCGCTACTGCGCGCCTCGCGAAAAGTAGAAACTCGGAATCTCTCCCTAACCGCGACACGTCTCTCGCCGTTATTAATCCAGAGTTTCCGTGTTACGTTTCCGGCCACGAACAACAGAATCTATCGGGTTTGTAGTGTGCTAGCACACAAACCCGTCCCCCGCCCCCGTACAATTGGGTCAATATTGTTCTATATTGATAGTTGACACACCTTCCGAACTCACGGTAAATTGAATCTTGTCTAATATCGGGGATAAAGAGAACGCTACCATCATTGAGCCCGACGAACGTTCCTGACACGATGCGCGAGACGATCGTGTAACTCGATTTGTGCCCGGCAACGCTCCTTATTCGACGTCACGGAATAATTGAGGCGTTTCAGCAGGAAACGGATCGACGTTTGACTTTTCCTGCTTCCCTTGGCGAGTTTTAATTTAACACGCTTTAACCGTGCGGTACCGTCACGTCTCTTTTCCACATTGTTTAACCCCTTAAACGTTTATGTCGAGTACACTCGTCGTGAAAGGATGGAATTTTTTTGTTCAATGTCAGAAAATGGCGTTTGCTCTTTGTTGTAAAATTTAGGAAAAGTATTTGTAATTTTAGCACATTTTCGAATATTTCAAGGCAACAGAACAAAGAAAGAAAATGCGCACTTGAAAGTGACGGGTGATTGTTCAAAAACAAATTAAATTAAATCTGTAATCATTTTAATTTTGCAAATATTTGATTCTTCTACTTCTTTCTCTGAATTGATGAACATTCAAGTTCTCTCTACATTTTAAATTTTTAATAATTTTCTTTTACGGAATAATTTTCAAAAAAATAAAACATTAAGTTCGGTAAATACCGATATATCGAGTTACAATAATTTTTTTGTTCAATGTCGAGTATGCTCGTCATGTAGAAAAAAATTCACTTTTGCTATTTATTGCAAAATTTAGGAAAAATATTTGTAATTATAAATCAATTATGAATCAAAATATAAAAGTTATAGTCATCGATGATAGGTTTAAGCAAGGCTCGAAAATGGCGCAGAATGTGTTAAGCAAATGTGTCGACAGTTGCAATTTCGTTATGAAGTATTTTTATTTCGCTGTTGATTGGAGAGTCTCGAGTAGTGAATAAATGATTGGACTCTTGCTCGTGTATAAATATACCAATAATTGGTCGTTTAACGTAATTAAATGCGTGATGTTTTTGTTACGTTTCGGCAGTCACAATTAAAGAGCGTTAATTATAATGAGTTTTATATTCGTTTTTAATAAATGAATGATGCTTCGTGAAATGTGTATGAACCTCTTCTCAACGTGGACGAGAAACATGTATTTCAATAGTTCTAAAATTTCAACAATGAAATTTAAATTCTGCATCACTCTGCAGTGTCTTCAGCCACCTAATTTAATATTATATTTATTTCTTCTTTTTATCGACATTTGTATATATTAAAATTAATTTTATTTTATTTTATTTCCCTGCAATTTCCTTGTTTGTATAAATTAATTTTTTTCTTGGCTTTTCCTTATTGTGAAATTTTTCAATGTTTTTTTTGTAATATCGAACGCTTCATTAAGTTTTTTAATTTCAGCTTTTAATTTCACTCTAAACTTAAAACACTCTAAATTCGGTTTCTGAATTTCACACAATAAAATTATTTGCGCGGAGTCGTGGTTTTAATTTGACAGAGAATTAGATAATATCGTAACAATATGATTGTTCCAAATTATTTCAGCGACATTTAAAATGCATTTAAATGTGCTTATGTATAAATTCATATATTTATACAAATTACAGATACAACTGAACTATATATAAATATGCTTAAATGTGTATATTTCAAATAACATTAATAAATGATATTAAAGTATGGAGACAACATTCGGGCAAAGAAATGCGAGTGGGAATTTTGTAACATTAGAATTCAGGAACTTGATGCATGTGTCAAAATGATTGATAGCAAAGAATATTGTATCGGACGTATGCGGAATGTTCAGAAACGAACCAACGGCCAGAAAGGTAAAAAGATAAATGATAGAAAGATGTTATGTATATTGTATATATTGCCATGAAATAAGAATTTGTATATCCATTTTATGTTTAGTCTAACGAGTTGAAATGTTTCGGAAATATCTTAGAAGTATGCTTGAACGTAGGTAGCAGCATTGATTATCAACTTTGTTTTATATTTTGATATGAAAGGGATAATAACAGGGGGGGGGGGGATTAATTAATTAAAATTAGTCAAACGAATTTCATACAATAATACATACAGTAGATATTGTAATTTAAAAACATTGTATATATTGTGCAACAATAGCACTGACTTCAGCGTTTAATTTCACGTAAATGACTAGAAAATGGATAAAATAAGATTAAATAGTATCGATTGACAATAATACTATGATCCTTTCTGTACCTTTTGTAATATTATATATTATAATATTTATAATTATAATATTATAATATTGTAATATTTATAATTATAATATTATAATATTATAATATTATAATATTTATAATTATAATATTATACTTTCGTTATAATAAAATGTCTTCGTATCTGCGGAAACAGCGAAAGTATTATTTGAAACGAGACGCACCGTGTAGTTTATTTCGAGTAATTTTCATATAACTTCTTCACACATTCGAATTTCACACAAATTCGTATGAATACTCGTCAAGTCCAATGTTTAAAGAAGTTTAAAATGCTTGTCTACCGGATGCAGCAACGCACGTTCGTTTTGCATTTGGTGAACCGAGTCGTACCCGCAGCCAATGATTCGCGGAGTTTCTCACCGCGGAGAGAGTTTCAGTCTTGAGAAGGATGTTCAACGAAAGTTTCCGGTTACACAAGGGGCCGAATTAGTTGAGGAAAATCCAGAATCTACTATCTGTAACACGGCGCGTCTAAACTTTGAATTCACAGTTCGAATGTTGCGAGAGATGTACTTCCGCGAGGGCAAATCTCAAACGTACGAGTGAATTATTATGTACGAGACACAGCGGGAATAAATTGCTATCTCTATTTTGTATCAGTGCTCGTTGAAGTGTTGCTTTAAATAATAAATGGCAAATGATTTACTTTATAATCTAATCTGATCTAATATGATACGCATTAATATAATCATTTGTGATCGTCGCACGTGTATCGTTTAAGGGTTGAACAAGCGTACAGTGGCTCCCATTAATATTTGAGTAGTAAATATTGAAACTGTTACAATTTCGCAAAAAGGAATGGCACAAGAATAAACTCGAAGCCTCTACTTTTGAACTGGATCGTTCGTTCTGTTCATTCTAAGATATTTTTATTTTCTCATTTAATATTTTAGTTTCTGTTCTTACTTTTTTGTTGTGGAATAATTATTGTTTCTCTAGCTTCCCTAGAAGCACCCTCATACGAAGATTCATGATCATGTTTGATTATTTACATCAAATAAAAAGAAAGAATTTCAAATGTAGTTTACTCGCGAATATTTATCAATTGATTTAATTGATGTAACACTGGAAATTCATTTTTCGTACTCTCTATGTTGAACAAATATCTTTTGCAAACATTGTCTTTTACCATATCCACAAGAATGTACAAGTATATTATTAATATAATATTATTTGTTATTATTTATTATTAATATATTATCAATGTAAATTTATTATATTATTATTTTTATTAAATTATAATTAAATTTATATTAAATTTTATTATTATCGTTCATATAAAGTCTATTATTAATTTGATTATGAGAGGCTCTATTGTATACGATTGTTTTCAAATCGTGTACCAACAGATTGAATATATGTGTCATCCAGTATCCATTCACGAAATCACATATTTGATCCAATGTATCGCTTCCTTCAAACTTATTAATCGCCAATGCAAATCACAAACACACACTAATCGTATTCATCGATGTTTATTGGACCAAAATTCCGGTCAAATGATAAATACGCGCATGTATTAACGCGGTCATATACAAGTCATTAAACTTATCAGTCGGTCGTTCGTTATGATTATCGTTAACTGATTAATCAATACAACGACATCCCTATCCCCTACGACGTAATAAACCTAGTCAATTATTCAAAGCATCGAAAGCATACAATATCCATTCAGGTTGACCAGAACGACGTTGAATAAAAACGTGAAATTAAACTTCGAATAGCGTCGCTGGAGCGTGAACAGTTACAGTAATTAGATTATTTTTGATTTAGATGCAATTCGTCGATTTTGGTGCAATTTTTGAATCGATACGATTCTCATGCATATTCGTATTTTCGAGAACAGTAATTAAACTTGGATAGGAAATTATCTTGCGTGTCAAATTGTTCGGGAACTTTGAGCGATGGCCTGATACATGGTAATTTATGGCTGGTGACTCACGCTATTTTTGAAGAGAATAACCAGGGCCTTGCTGCCCCATTAGAAGCGGAGGATTCGATTTATCGGGGGAAGGTTACGTCCGGAACACATTTTTAATAGCTCCTCGATTTTTATTTTATTTGTTTTAATACTTTAACACATACG